TACTGTAATGAAAGCTTGTTGTTGTTGTTGTTAATAGTTATCTGAGACTGCGGCACGGACACCTACAGAAATACAACTTAACATCCCTGATATTCACTGCATAATTTTCACATTAAATAAAAGCTTGTCACTCACTGCAGTTTGTTTCTGATCTCCAGGCCCCAACAGTGATTCCCTGAGTTGCACAGGCTTTTGCGTAGTTGCCAAAGGAGACACATAAACATTCCTGTAATGCAGTCGAGCACTGACAGGTTCTTTTTACACAAGCCTAAGAAGAATCAGAAACAGATTAATGACAAGAAAACAACCATGAATTTCAAAATGATAAAATGTGTTACTACATACGAATATATCCTTGCCTCTACAAAGGGCGAAACAGGTACGTAATCATGACACACAGCAAACAATCCTAATGGATCTTTCAGTTGGTCACAGTTCTCCTCAGCAAATATTTCTACAAATGAAATGAATATAAGTGGTTGTCTTGGAAAATAAATCCAAAGTTATGTTATGAAATTCTAGATGGCGCAGTCCAATAGGTTCCAACTCAATATGATATAATGACATCTTTATTCACATAGCACAGCTGATTGGTTTTTTTCGTATCAGCAGCCAATGAGCTTGCTGCTCAACTTTCAAATACTCGGCTTGTGTTTGCTGTAGCAGTTGCAGCATGCTTCAGAAACCCTTCCCCTTCCCCAGCTCCACCTGTATAGATCTGCTACGAGGTGATCTCATGTATATTATATATGGGGATTATTTCATCTCAAAGCAGCATGTCTGTGGATGTATTGGTAGTAGCAAGTATCTGTAGTTGCTCTGCTGCAGTGGCAGCAGCATAGAAGTTATATTCCGCCAAGACCAAATCATTAACACGTATTGTACATTACCATGCTAAACTCTCAAAGAGCTGTCATGACAGAACTTTAATATGGTTAAGCAGTTAGTCTAAGTGACACTTACCATTGTCAGTGTTGATGCATCCAGTAATTGGGGTACAAGTGCCCATTGACCAGGACTGGGCAAAAAGCTGAACTGAACTTTCTATGATGCCACTAAAAGTAGTGAAGTCATCGCTTGTGTCATTATTAAAAGTTCCACAAAGACCTATAATAAAAACACTTGCTTTAATAAAAACATTAATATTTGATTGATTGAATTCTATGTATAATTACATTTTGCTAAAATGCTGTATGTGCTTTGAGGTTGGCTTGTATGAATATTGATTAATCAAACCTTTAGTGTTTTCGGTTGGTGGCAAATTCAAATATATTTGAATTTCTGGAGAGATTTGAACTTGCATTTTCAGGCCAAATGAAGTCTGAACTTGAATGAACATTGAAGACTGCCAAAAGACTGTGGTAGACTCTGAAACAATGGCCAAAAACATAGCAGTTTTGTAAAGCTAATGTGAATGTTTCAAATTGTGTCAGGCTAATATGAATATTTCAAACTTATTCATCTTAATACGACAAATTCCAAAAGAGCATACCAGTCTGTGATAGGTCACTGATTTCTATGTTGTTCAGTTGTATGCTGTTTGCAGAGAAGGTATATCTTTCCTGAAATTAAAAAAGCAGTCAGTTTATAGGGGAAGTGATGTCCGAATGTGGTATCAAAATGTATTATCAAATGTTTAAAATCATACTATATATGTACAGTAGATAATGCAAGTTACATAGAGTCTGCAGAATGCATACAAAAAGCCTGCAAATGTTTGTAAGGAAAATAGACAAACCTGGTTGATATTAAGATATGCCTTTTCTATGACAACACCTTGCCCAGAATATTGAATGTTCAATGTCCAGTTAAGCCCCTGGGCGACATACCAAACATTAGACATACCAAACATTTGAATGTCAGAAAATCATCAAATATATATTCTTATATTTCATTTCAGTTACCCTTGCAGCCACAAAGGTGCATTTGTCTAGTATAGAATACTGTTTGCCATCAAATGTAGTGATGAACTGGCCCTCAATAATACACTTGGCTGGACATGTGTTTGCAGAACATGCCCAGTTTCCTCTGATGCAGGTACTGTGGGGATAAAAAAAATATATATATATATATATATATATATATATATCTTTTTTACAGATTATATTCAAATCTCACAATATTTACTTACATTTTTACCTACAAAGAGGTTGTATTTTGAAAAACCTTGTATGATTGTATGTTCTTGTAATGTTCTTGTAACCAAAACAGTAACACACAGTAACAGTAAATAAAAATAACTTTTATTGAGGCTTTTGCCTCAATAAACTCCTAATTTGCTAACTTAATTAATAGTTAGTAACAGTGTTGGGGAAAGTTACTTTTAAAAGTAATGCATTACAATATTTACTTCCTAAAAAAGTAACTAATTACGTTACTTAGTTACTTTTTATTGAAAGTAATGCGATCCGTTATTTTTGCGTTACTTTTTAAATCTGGGCTGGGCTTGCTTGTTTGCTTTTAATATAAAAAGTTCTATTTTTGGTTCAACACTCTTCAGCAATAAAAAAAAGAAGAAATGTTAGTTTATCTTGTGTAATTTTTTCTTATTAGTATGGTTGAATTTGATCATTGTCAGCAGCAAATTGGTTAATAAAATGGGATTAAATACCCTAACACTAACATAAAGGATATTTGTATTATTTAACATATTTAATTATTGCAGCTTTGAGTCATATTCTGAGTTGCGTTTAACTGTTTTTATTAATTTTGAGGAAAACTAAATCTGATTTTTTTTTTTTTGTGAGTGAGTGAGATGAATTAATGCATGTTCACATTTATTCTAGAACTAAAGTAACATATTACTCCCGATTTCTCTCAACAAGGGGACAGGAGAGCTTTCAATCAATAAATGGGAAAAAAAGTAACTGGCGTTACTTATTTGAAAAAGTAACTCAGATATTTTCTTGTAAATTAAAAAGTAATGTGTTACTTTACTAGTTACTTGAAAAAAGTAATCTGATTATGTAACTCGCGTTACTTGTAATGCGTTACCCCCAACACTGGTTAGTAAGGCAGTTGTTAAGTTTAGGTGTTGGGTAGGATTGGGAATGTAGAACATGGTCATGCAGAATATGTGCTTTATAAGTACTAATAAACAGCCAATATGTTATTAAATGACATGCTAATAAGCAACTAGTAAATAGTGAGATTTGGTCCCTATACTAAAGTCTTACCGACATTTCTTACCAGGTCTGGCACTTTGTTCTGCGTTCCTGCCTTGGTGCATACATTATCTTTGCATGCACACATGGACATTCTTCCACATAAATGGAATGGTAACCATCAACGCGATCATTCAGGACCTTTCCTGAGATTATGAGAGACAGACAAAATGTTATAAATAATATAGATATTAATGAAATAAAACAATATTTTCTGATTTGACGTATCATTGAAGTTAAATACTTTATATTTGTTCAGTAAAATAAAATAAAATAATATAAAATAAAATTTCCCACATTTCCCTTTTTGCTGCTAATCAAGGACCAACCTTCAGCTGGTAGGCAGGTGCTGGTAAGTTCTGTGGTGTAATTCTGTGGGTTGCTGCAGGTTGGCGGGAAAGCGGGACCCATCTCTGCATAGTGCATGTCTCCAGGACAATGAGGTTGGGCTGCAAACCATATGAAATATTAGTGTTACTAGTAACACTGTAATGTGTATATATGTAAAAATGAATACGAGAGCTTTCTGATTGACTTGTTATAAACTGTGGGTCTTACAGCAGCTGCTTTTTGATCTCCACACTGACCACACTGGACTGGAGCTCCCGCACATAAGTGAGAGCTCTTTAAAAAATGAGCAGTTTGATTCCCGATGCCATAATCCATTCATATTTTTATAGCACAGATTCAGGTAGGTTTGATATTTAGTAGCGAGACATTCATAAGCATGGGACAAAAGATTTTTACAAACCTAAAGAAACAGGTATGGTTAGTAGGCATTCAATGGATTTTAAAATATTTTATTTGAGCCTGGTATAGATTTATTACTTAAAGTATTTTAATATCTTGTAATCCTTTGCATACATCACAAACATAACACAAATGTTATTTCTTTTAGAGATACCTTGATAATGCATTATACAAGCTTTATAATGCATTATAATTTTTATAATATATATATATTTTTTTTTTTTTTTTTTTTTTTTTGCAGTACATTTTTATTCCACTGTGCAGAAACTCACTGTGTTTGTCTGCGCAACAGAGTCTTGTGTCAGGCATTGGCCATCAGAGAATACACTGGTGAATATCAGCTGCTGCATAGTTTCTATGAACAAAATAGCCATGTTAAAATACCACCAGAAAGTACTACATGATTATATCATAAAACTCATTGTTTAAACACAATAACCTGAGCTGTTCTTGTGCCCACAAAGTCCACTCATACCCTCCACTAAATCCTGGTTCAGTTGCATCTGTAAGAGATGTGCTTAAAGTGCCCCTATTATGGATTTTTGAAAATTCTCTTTCATGCAGTGTGTAACACAGCTCTAAGTGAATGAAAACATGCTGCAAAATTTTTTATCTGAAAGTGCACCGTGTATAAAGTTATTGTCTCTTAAAAGAAAGAGTCGACTCTGAATCATTAAAACGAGTCGTTTGACTTCAACATGAAACATTAGCATATTTCCCGCCCACTTGTTGGTCTTTTCGCGTTGGTCTGAATGAAAATGCAAATTCTTTGCCACTAGGTGCCGCTTTTGGAGTAAAAATAGCGGTTTCCCCGGTAACGCTGTACACAAAACAGCACTGCGCTCACAAACGTGGCTTTACCAGGCATTACAGGCATGATGAAATGAAAATGAGACCAATCGGACCAATCACCGCAGATTAGCGTCACGCAAAGGAGGGGTTTGGAAAAATGAATCGTTGAGCGAATCGTTTGTGAGTCGTTGAGCAAGTAAGGTAAAAATAAATGCATATTATAAGACAATGAAAGTGTTTTTTGACCTTGCATGCATGTCAACCTGTTGTTGGCGACTCCTAAAACCAAAATATGAACCTTTCATTACCCATAATAGGGGCACTTTAAAGATTACATACAGTATGGTCAGGGTCGCTATAATATAGTAATCACATATTTTTATTCTTATCAACAATGCTACATTAAAATTTTGCAATCTTGCGGACCATTGTCTTTAATGGTAACTCACCCAAAGTGAACTGACACCATTAGCTACACTGTACCATGTGACAGACAATGGCAAAACTTTGCTTTGGAGCCTGGTATAGATTCCATAATGAAACACGTGCTGATAGGTGTGGTCGTATGGAAGGGAAATTCTGTGAAAACATTGACAAAAATTCAATGCGGATATATTAACAAGAAACATATTTTTATCAATAAATACTTCTAAAAGTGTAGTCAGTATATTTATTTACATGGTACAAAATGGTATATTGAATGAAATGGTATAAATAGAAACTAAAAGTATTTGCTTTATTAATAGCATGTTTATTCTAGCAAAATCCCAATTCTAATCAAAATATTCGATTTGCTAAATTAAACATATTATGTAAAGAAGGAAATATGAGGGGGTGCTGATATTTAGTAGCACACAAAGCTGCTATTATAATGAAATACTATTACAATGCTGTAATATAATAATTACAACATTATAAGCTCTTTTAATTACATGAACAACCCTTTTCGGAACTTTTATACAACAAAAATCTAAATATTGGTCACAAATGTGACTCCCGTACCTGCTGCCTTCCACTGTCACAGTATTATTGTGAACGAGGGTCGTGACTTTATTCACAATGATCTCCACTCTGTCCATCAGGCCATTCGGTCCACGCTGGACGATGATATGACAGTCCACTCCAGCATGACTGAAGCGTGTAAGCGTTACAGGACATGTGGTCTTCAGATGAAATGCAGTTTTGTTGAATGTATAAAAGATGCCGCTGCCATACGTCTTACATACATCTGAAATAAGACCCAAATAAATAAGATCAAAGTGGACAACAGCTTTCTTTCTTGCTTGCTTTCTTTTTTCTTTAACGTGATTTGTCTCAAAATAAAACAAAATCTAATTTCCCAGTTATATTGGACATTGGACATGCTATTAATATAACTGGACTTGATCAATTATGTATTCAAGTAGATACAATGCAATATTTCCTTACTTTGAGCTGTAAACACAGAGTGAATGTGGCCTGCAGATAAACGCAGAAAAAGTTAAACATGATGAAAATCCAATGAAATTTCTTCACTTAAATTTTTTAAAAATTGTACCATTTATGTCTAGCCATAAATAATACATAATACTGGCAATATTAAAAAGTAAGAATTACAACAATAATAATAAACATTAATTTAAAAATGGATGATAAATAATATTAAATAAATAATAGTCCATGTAATAAATTAATTACATTAAATAATATAAATAATTTATTAAAGTAATCTAAAATCAGCTAACCTGAGAATACAATAATTATTCCTAAAAGTGTTGCCTCTCGTAGAGCCATTCTGTCCAATGAACCATCTGCTCACTGGTGCACAACTGCATCAGGACTACAGAGATTCTTCTCGCAGCCCTTTTATGATGAGATCTACTTCACTACTTTGAATAACATGAGGAAACAGCCACAAGATTAAACATTGACTAAATTGACTAAATAACTAATAAGGGGGTGTGGAACACAAAAGCTAACAAAGGTTGTTTTGTTTTTTTTTATGTGCTCACATTAGACAAAGATTAATGTTGGAAATCCCTTTATTTGGCACTGCTTTGTTGTTTACCTGTAATGGTGTATAGGTCATTTTCTGTTTGACATTGTACCTGGTTCTGCTCTGTGAACAGGTGTATTTGATTTCAGGAACAGAAACACTGTTAGCTCCCTGATGAGAATACGATCTCAAAACTCAATCACGGAAAATGCAAATCTACTTTCAAATGTGTGTTCAAAGGACATACGTAACTCTAATCCTAAAACTGTATATTCACTGATGTATATTTCCTTACCAACATCATCAAAACTTTAAAACTGCTTTAAGAAAATATTTTTAGAGAAGGAGAGAGAGAGAGAAAAACACAGGCTGCATTGTAGTCTTGTGCAATTACAAGGAGGATATACACATCATTTACAACCTTTTAACTGTAAAGTCTTCTATTCAATTTATTTTTTTATTATTTTTTTTTTCCCCAAATAGGTGAATTATTACATCCTTCTGCTCCAGGATAAAAGACAATTATGCATGTACATGCCAAGAACCAGAAAAAATCCTTATAGCAACATGACTATTAAATTGTGATAGAGGGTTAATATTAGATAAATATTACCTAAACAGATAAGGCTGGTTAAGAACATCCTTTAGAAGAGCTCAGAACAGCATTCGATTGTATTATTATGTAAAATAAAAAAATTAAATAAATAAAATATCAAAAGCTAGACATATATTTATGGATGAATTTAATTGCTACGTTCAATTCAGTGTGTTATTTGTGTTACTTTGTAATTATTTGAGAAATCTACTAGCAATTTCTGAGTGAAAACGGTTCCAAAATAAATACATAAATAAATAATTTTTCAGTGTACATTTTTTTTTCAGTTTTTAAGTTGTGAAATTATACGAAACACACTGTGTGTGTGTGTGTGTGTGTGTGTGTGCGTGCGTGCGTGCGTGCGTGCGTGCGTGTGTTTGTGTGTGTGTGTTTGTGTTTATCCTACATTGTGGGGAACAATGTCCCCACAAGGATAGTATAACTTGAAATTTTTTGACATTGTGGGGACTGGCCTGTTTGTCTGAAAGTGTAGGAATGCAAACTGGTTTTCTGTAAGGGGTAGGTTTAGAGTTCGGGGATAGAAAATATCGTTTGGTCAGTATAAAAGTAATTGAAGCCTACGGATAGTCCCCACAAAGAAACCTAGCTGTGTGTGTGTGTGTGTGTGTGTGTGTGTGTGTGTGTGTGTGTGTGTGTGTGTGTGTATAAAATCATACCTGTATCTCAGATGTCCTTGAACACCAAAGCAGCTGCTAAGCTTGTGACTAAAATTGTTTCCCTAATAAAGACTATATGGTACAACAGCGAAGAGGCTTGTAAGGAAATTATTGGTGCCATTTACAAGGTCTATTCTGTCCAGCAGGTGGCAATATATCTGTTTGTCTGATTTAAGGTGGTGTTGTCTCATCTACTATCAGTCCACATAGCTGTATCCAAATGCAAAAAGTAGTTTTTTTTTTTTTTCAGAATGTAAGCTAATCATCAACAATCACTTCATCGGCAAAAGCTGTGTCCAAGCATATCCGTGTCCTCAGTGAAATGGTGTTGATTTACAATCAGTTCCTATAATCTAAATAACCACACTCATGGACCATACTCGTCCCAGATTAGGACTCTTATCATAAGAAGTCAGTAACCTAGGTGACTGTTTGAAAAAGGCTAGAATACTAAATGATCAGTACAAGCTTCTGGTGGAATATTACTGAACCATAAACATTAAAACCACTCACAGGTGAAGTGAATATCATTGATTATATCATTGCAATGGCACTTTTCAAGAGGTGGGATATAGTAGGCAACAAGTGAACAGTCAATTCTGCTGGGAAACCTTGGGTCCTGGCATTCATGTGGATGTTACTTTGACATGTACCACATACCTAAAGATTGTTGCAGACCACGTCCATCCCTGATGAAAATGGACCCTGCCATACTGCGAAAAATGTTTGGAGATCTCCAATCTCAATCCGATTTAGCATCTACTGTATGGGATGTCCTGGACCAACAAATCTGATCCATGGAGGCCCCACCTTGTAAATTACAGGACCTAAATGAGGCTGCTATGTCTTGGTGCCAGAGACCACAGGACACTTTCAGAAGTCTCATGGAGTCCATGCAGCCACATCAGAGCTGTTTTGGCAGCACGAAGTGAACCTACATAATTTGTATACTCGTATGCAGAGGTGGACAGTAGTGAAGTATTTTTACTTTACTCAAGTAAATTAAAAAAGTATCTGTACTTTATCAGAGTGTTGCTTTTTGCAACCAACAAAAGTTGTTGCTTTTTTACCTTTAATATTTAAGAACATTAAAAATGTAGTACTTCCTTGTACTCAAGTAAATCTTTGAATTACTTTTACTTGAGTAAAAGTAAGATAATTATATTAGAAATGTAGTGCTAAGTATTAAATTATATTTAATATGAAACGTAGTGCAGTAAAAAGTACAATATTATGCTTTGGAATGTTGTGAAGTAAAGTTTTCTAAAGAAAAACACTCTGATAAAGTACAGACACTTGCAAAGTACTTTTAAAGCAGAGTAAAAATATTTCACTATTGTCCGCCTCTGCTCGTACGATAACATTTCAGAAGATGTAGATTGTATTGAATACATTTTTAATACAAGTTAATTTCCAAATTTAAAGAAGTATTATCCCTTAATATGCACTAGTGTAAATAGACACTCTGTATTTTTAATGGACACATTTCCTCATTATGCCTTTTCTCTAGTTAAAGGAAATGATTCTCTCTCTCTCTTTCTCTATACAGGCCTGTACAGACACTGAAAGTGACACATCCCCTTCAATATTCACATTATAATTTATCGTTTTCAGTGACTGTGTCTTAAAATGTTACTTTTGGTCCCCAATAGTGTTGAACAATTGGTTACATTCTTGGACCCAGAAAACATGTTCTGCATGGGTTTGCACACTTGCAAATACTGTATAAATTAAAGTGTAGTGAGTATCTTTCACCTTAAAGCAGTGTTTACAAAAATTAGCTTCGCATCTAGTTCTTCACATAGTGAGAACAGCTGTCTGATGGGCCAATGCACCTACATCAAAGGAAAAATGTTGTTGAATTAACTGATTGCACAGTTAGAACTGATCTTGTGTCAGTTGAAAGCCGCTAATACAACCATAAGACGGAAGACGAGATGAAAGGCAGATCAATCAAGACACTCAACCTCAAAATAAGCTCTTTTGTAAAGAGACAGATTACCCAATATGTAGCCTACAAATACAAATACAAGCTCAAGAACATGTGCGTGTGTGTGTGTGTGTGTTTGTGTGTTTTCCCAGTTGTAGCTATGAATGCTGGAATAACCAGATAATAAACGATCAGCAAATACTCATATGCCATTATCAACAATTCTGTGTATGAAGTCATTAAGAGGTGTATGAAACCACTCAAGTCATATCGATTCTCAAGAGCACATCAGTGGACCAAACACTATCTTTTGGAGATTGTAGAATCTCATATCAGTGATTCCCCACTGTACTTGAATCGATAAAAATAAAGACCATTAATTAGTACTTCAGTTGATCAAACAGTTTTGATCAACAGCTCTACTCATGATATTTCATTTCCTGCTCCATGCTATTAGCGAGAGAAACCCCACAAAGAGCGTTCAACCCGCATTTAAAAGCTCCACTTCCATTTTCAAGTGAAAATGATGATGTGAATCTAAACTTAACCCTCTGTGGTGAATAGATTGTCCAGAAATGTACAAATAAGATTGTGCAAATTCATAACCACCAAGTCACCAAAATATAAAAATGTTATGAATTGCCATGAACATACTCTGCTCACATACTGTAGTATGGAATGCCACAAACAAAAGAAAAAAAAAAAAGCTTAAAGGGGTCATATGATGCGATTTCAAGTTTTCCTTTCTCTTTGGAGTGTTACAAGCTCTTGGTGCATAAAGAAGATCTGTAAAGTTGCAAAGACTAAAGTCTCAAATCCAAAGAGATATTCTTTATAAAAGTTAAGAGTCAACCACGCCTACCTAAAGCAGCTCGTTATAACACGCCCCCACATATCTACGTCACTATGTGGAACTATTAGCATAATGCCACCCAAATGTGCACGCAAAGAAAGAAGTCTTGGTTTCATGAACAGCAGTAGTGTTGATGCAGCCATGTCAGGGAGACGGTGTGTGTTTCAGTGCGAAAGCAAAAGCACTTTATTTGGGCTTCCGGAAGTAGATGCAATTAGGAATCATTGGTTAAGATTTATTTACAACAGAACAGCACAACCCAGATGTTCGAATTTGTGCAACGCATTTTATGGACGACAGTTTTTTGAACCTAGAAGAGTACAAGGCTGACTGTGCACAAAGGCTATTTAAAAAAAAAAAAAAAAGGGCCAATTTTTGAATAAATAATACAATAAATAAGTACAATAAAGATACTTTGTTATGACAATCTGGCGCTTCTGAATCAGCGACTGTAAGTATGTTTTGTTATTAGTTTAAGTATTTGCTATTGACTGTTCAAATGCGGAGTTTTGCACAACATGAACATTAAAGCATGTCAACATATTCTGTTACACCAAATACACAAAATAATGATCTTTAAAATAGCATCATATGACCCATTTAAATGAAACAGGTATTTCAACAGGTATTTATTGTTAACTATTTTCATGTACAGTATGCTACATAGTACCTGTCCTTGTGCCTTTGTTTTGAGTTCAGACTTTTATGTTGCTTCATTTCCTGTTTCACGAGTTCACACTAACATATAATGTGATTAAGCAATTAGTAGCATATTT